CCCCGCCCCTAAACTTCTCTGGTCCTTTAGTTCTTCAATCGATAACAAGCAAAACAAACATCTTACCTCTGAACTCTGGTCAGTTTAGCCTCCATGACGACCTCTGTACAGACTGAATTTCGGACAGTAGCTATTCCAGAATAACAGTTCCTACCTTCATAATCTCTTCATGAACTCCAGATAAGAAAACAGCATCACACAAACATCCTAACTAGACTGAACCTCCTAAATCCTGTCCTAACTTTAGGATGAACCCCAACAGGGTCCTCACTTCTGTTTAAGGTCCGTTTCTATGGGTTTTAGGCAACTGTGTGGGAAACGTTTGGGAAATGGAGACTGAAACTGGGGAGCGGCGACGCTCTGATAAACAGCAGGGGGCGCTCTTACAGTATTCACAACTTACAGTTTATCACACTTTAGTTCAGTTTGACCTTTGTAACATCAGTAACAGCATCTTAACTCATCTGAACTTAAGACTGAAAGAGAGGGAGTTTCTGTGATGTGGCCCCAGCTCCTTCACCCCTGGGCCTCTTCAGTTTGAATCAGACCATCGTGGCCCCACCTCATCTCTTGCTTCATCTGCCCTTTCACTGAATGATGCTCCTTTTGTGGACTCCTCCTCCCAAGGCCTGGAGCAGCACTGGCTTATTTTATGAAGAGGCTGACCTCACTGTGATTTCGGCAGGACCTGCTGTGATTTCTGATGCTTCTCTGTCTGTTGTCTTGAATTTCCTTCTTCAAGCATTGATTCAGGGAGGCACGGTGGTGCAGTGGGTAGCGCTGTCACCTCACAGCAAGAAGGGCCTGGGTTCGACTCCCCGACCAGTTTGCATGTTCTCCCCATGTTTGCATGGGTTTCCTCCCACAGTCCAAAGACATGCAGTCTGTCCAGTTCCCCCTTGATTCTTGTATTCCTGCATCATCATGAGTCTTCTTTGTTGTCCTGAATGGACTCTCATTCAGCCCCTGATCTACGATGTCCCCATAGCTGACATCATGGCCGTACCCAGCACAGGCATTCCAGGCTCTGTTCAGACTGCAGGCGAATCAGATTTGTTTCTTAAATCAGATTTTTTGAGGTGACTGTCCGCACTGCAAGTGGTCAGATTGGATTTGTGTGTCCAGACATCACCAGTCTGCCCGCATGGGTTGCTATGGTGATGGCATAGGCGTCAGTAACTACTGATTTAACTGCAGATTTCAGTCACAGATGCAGGAGAGATGGAGGAGCATCATCTTCCCTCCAAACTCAGAACTCTCTTCATCATGAATCTTTGGAGCTCTTCTTGAGTCCCAGCACTTCATCACTCTGGATTTGACATCGTCACTGTTTGTCGTGTTGTGAGTGACAAAAAAGACACTTTGAAATCTGATTTGAATGTCCAGAGCATCCAGACTGAGACACATCTGTAAAAATCAGACCAGAGTTGCTTTTCAAATCATCTCCTAATGTGGTTTGGATCCAATTAGCAAAAAATCAATCTGGATAGGATAAATCAGATTTGGGCTGGCAGTCTAAACAAGGCCCCAGAGTCTGGTGTGGCCCAGAGAAGGATGGCTTCCCCTTTTTGAATCTCGGTTCCTCTAAAGTTTCTTCTTCTTGCTCTCAGTGCAGGGGTGTCCAGTCTTATCCGCAGAGCGCAGATGTTCCAACCAAGCAGGAGCACAAATCAGCTGTTTGAAGACGGAGACCATCCGATTAAACAAGAACCGGTGGAATCAGGTGTGCTCCATCTTGACTAGAATTAAAACTCACCACCACAGCAGCCTTTTGTGGATAAGGTTGGTGTCGCCTGGTGTTCTAGAGAGCGCTTTGGGACGATGGCTGTTGTAGGAAGAGTTTGATTCAAACCTCAACAGCAACAACAAAGATTTAATCTTCAAACACAGTGAGATGGGCCAACTTGAGTAGATCAGCCCTTCAGCTGTTCAACTCCTCCACCAACCCAGACCTTACTGCCCTACATCCTTTCTGAAACAAGTTCTTTCACTTCCTGCAGCCAGTTCACACTCTTGATATCAAGTTCTCTCTAAAACACTACAGTTCCTTTAACAGTTCTTCAGGATCAGGCAGGATCTTCTGCAGCCCAGGAGCTTCTGGATCACTGTGTAACTCCAGTCCTTTCAGTCAGACAACATCTGGGCAATTCAGGACCTCAGAACTTTAAGTAACTCAACATTCTTTTGTTTTTCTACCAGAACCCACCCAGACCTCCAGCCCAAGTCCTCAAAGTTCTCTCTCCTCCTGCAGAAAATCTCCTCTGTGTGTTGAAGGCATGTTGGAGGTCTGAGCTGTGTGTGTGTGTGTGAGAGAGTGTGTGTGTGTGTGTGTGTGTGTGTGTGTGTGTGTGTGTGTGTGTGTGTGTGAGAGAGAGTGAGTGTGTGTGTGTGTGTGTGTGTGTGTGTGTGTGTGTGTGTGTGTGAGAGAGAGTGAGTGTGTGTGTGTGTGTGTGTGTGTGTAGTGCTGATGCGCTCTGCCCTCTCTCACCTCTCGCTGACCTCATACACCTGCAGGACGTTGGAGAAGAGCGACTTCCTGTCGTGGATGACCAGTGTGTCGTCCAGCTCTCGAGACCCCAGGAAGTGATCTTTGAGCACTCTGAGTGAGCGCAGGTACGACGCCTCCGACGTCAGCACCTCAAACATACACTGACACAGGGGTCACAGGTCAGACAGGCCACCGCTACAACAATAAATAATAGACTTATAATAAAGTTTAAAAACTGTTATTTTATGAGTTAATCAACCTCTCTCTCTCTCTCTCTCTCTCACTCTCACTCTCTCTCTCTCTCTCACTCTATCTCTCTCTCTCTCTCTCTCTCACTCTCTCTCTCTCTCTCTCTCTCTACCTCCTGTCTCTGTTTCTCCGTGTAGCTCAGTGTCTGCAGTATTCCGCTCTCCTTCACCACAGGAAGTTCCTGCCACAGTTTGACCTCTCCGAGCTCCGCCCTCTTCCGGCCCCCCGAGGTCCCGGACCCCTGCAGCCCCAAACTGTCGCTCGTGCTCCTGCGGTGGGCCGAGGGGCTCTCGCACTGCAGCTGGCATTCAGCCTCACAGACCTTACGCTGGTACATCTGATACAGCGGCTCTGAGTGACATCACAGTCAATCAATACAGTAAATTTCACAGTATCAATAACCTCACCATCCGCACTTAATCAGTCACTTCTACTGTATATACTACACAATTAGCATAATCAATCACTTCTACTGTATATACTACACAATTAGCATAATCAATCACTTCTACTGTATATACTACACAATTAGCATAATCAATCACTTCTACTGTATATACTACACAATTAGCATAATCAATCACTTCTACTGTATATACTACACTATCAATCATTTCTACATTCTACACATTTACCATAATCACTGTCCGGCACCCAATCACTGGAGATCCTCCTGGGGCTTTCATTGTGTTTAACACTGAGAGAGAGAGAGAGAGAGAGAGAGAGAGAAAGATAGAGAGACAGAGAGAGAGAGAGAGAGAGAGAGCGCATTAGTGGGTGCTGTAATGGAGTACAACTGTAGTGTTAGCTGTACTATTAGCTATACAATATTAGCTGTAGTGTTCGCTTCAGTGTTGGCCATATTAGCTGTAGGGTTAGCTGTATTAGCTGTAGGGTTAGCTTTAGTGTTAGCTGTATTAGCTTTAATGTTAGCTGTATTAGCTGTACAATATTAGCTGTAGCATTAGCTGTAGGGTTAGCTGTATTAGCTGTAGTGTTAGCTTTAGTATTAGCTGTATTAGCTTTAATGTTAGCTGTATTAGCTGTACAATATTAGCTGTAGCATTAGCTGTAGGGTTAGCTGGATTAGCTGTAGGGTTAGCTGTATTAGCTGTACAACATTAGCTGTAGTGTTAGCTGTAGGGTTAGCTTCAGTGTTGGCCATATTAGCTGTAGCATTAGCTGTAGTGTTGGTTGTAGTATTAGCTGTAGCGTTGGTTGTAGTATTAGCTGCAGTGTTGGTTGTAGTATTAGCTGTAGTGTTGGTTGTAGTATTGGCTGTAGTGTTGGTTGTAATATTGGCTGTAGTGTTGGTTGTAGTATTAGCTGTAGTGTTGGTTGTAGTATTAGCTGTAGTGTTGGTTGTAGTATTAGCTGCAGTGTTGGTTGTAGTATTAGCTGTAGTGTTGGTTGTAGTATTGGCTGTAGTGTTGGTTGTAATATTAGCTGTAGTGTTGGTTGTAGTATTAGCTGTAGAGTTAGCTGTGGTGTTAGCAGTAGGTTTAGTGATGATATTGTTTGTAGTATTAGCTGTAGTGTTGGTTGTAGTATTAGCTGTAGAGTTAGCTGTGGTGTTAGCAGTAGGTTTAGTGATGATATTGTTTGTAGTATTAGCTGTAGTGTTGGTTGTAGTATTAGCTGTAGAGTTAGCTGTGGTGTTAGCAGTAGCTTTAGTGATGATATCGTTTGTAGTATTAGCTGTACTGTTATCTGTAGCCTTTGCTATAGAGTTAATCATTATGTTAGTACTGTTAGCTGTAGCATTAGCTGTGTTGTGTTCTGAGGGCTGAAGCTGTGAGTAAAGCTGAAAGTCTTACTCTGTTTCCTCTCCCGTCTCTGAATCTTTCTCATCACTTCTCTTTCCCTCTAGAAAGTGGAGAGTTATAATTGACACAGTTAATATTCACATAAACATAAACCTTAAAGGATTACAGAAGTACCTGTTTACCATAATGCTAACAAGGTATATTAAATAACCCTCGACAAAATTTTACAGTAAAGGAGTAAAGTGGACTCAATTTAACAAACACTGAAAATCGCTCTCCATGCAAGAAGCACCTTTGGATATTTCATTTATGTTTTCCTTCTAATTAAGCGATTATCAAAAATATTAGAGATTACAGTCCTGTTTGGAATATGAGGATAAAGGAACTGTGCCAGGAGCTCCATGTTAGCGAGTAGCCTCGTCTCCCACTCGCCAAAACTCAGAGGTGCTGATTTTATTATTACATCACTGTGAGGGGGATTAAATCAGGGTCACTGTTACTGAAGGACCACCGAGTTCAGAGAATTATAGAAGATAATTCACTCTGGAATTCTTACTTAGCAGACTGTAAAAACTACAGACACTGCAGATTCATACTGGAATGAAATCACAGATCTTATCAGTAATCACTCGAATTACAGCACCTCCCTAGAAAAATAATCCCAGGCTTAAGAAAATGAGATCAGCATTAATAGGTATATTTCCCTTTCATGTACATTAGATAGACAGTAGGATAATTCATATAGGCCTATACACAGTTGTGCCGTGTGTGATGCACTTTTAGTAGTGCAGTTTTTTTCATCACTTTCAGGTATTCACATAACACTAACTCTAGCTTTGGGTGTACCACAGGGCTCTGTATTAGGACCACTTTAATTTTCTTTATCTATTGTATTAACTCTATCATATTGTGTCTTATTATATTGTATCCTATCATACGTTTCCTGTTTTTTCTGTGATTTACCTAACTTTGGCTTTCTGGTAGACAAGCCTTCACTTCCCCTTTCACAGGTGCTGGGCGATCTGATTGGTGGACGGCCTCCTCTAGGGGACAACATGTAGGCCAGAACAGGCTGGGTGGCCCGTCTGTCTTTCTGGAGGATACGCTTGGTGGACTTTGTGCGCGGTGGAGGTGTAGGTCTGGGGGGCGGAGTTGGGGGTTTGGGCGTGTTCTCATCAGAAGGCAGGAGCTCGAGGTAGACAGGCTCCTCCATGGGGGGGCGGTCAGTTTGTTGTTCCTGCGGGGCCGATGGGGGGGTCACTGCAGGAGTCGGCCGATGGATTAGCACTTCCACGCTTTCGTATATGCATTCGCTCTCCGCTAGCTTCTGAGGGCTGTGGTGGAGCAGAAAGCTCCGACAGTTAATGCACTGAGGCATTGTGGGAGATTTTACAGAGGCTGTGTGTCTGGAGGGAGGTGTCTGGTATGTGGCCGTCTCTCCCCGTCTACCATCCGTCTCCCCTTTGATGCTTTCGCCTTCCCTCTTTAGTGACCCGCTACTCGTCTGACTTCTTTCGCTTTCCGCCCACGTTCTGTCGTTCTTCTCCTCCGTTTGCAGTGGAACCCATACCAGCTTCATTCCAGGCCGCTGCAGGTGGCAGATGCAGTGGCAGTGTTTCTCCTGCAGGGGGCAGGGTGGCGTGGTTGAGCCCTCCTCCTCCAGTCTGGCCACGCACCCGCTGTCCTCCATCTCACTCCCATCAGGCTCTAGAGGGGAAGAAGGCGAGTCATTAGCAGGGTTTCCTGTTACGGCTGTGTTAGAATGAATATCAGGACTCAATACTTACAACTTCAGATAATTAGAATTTTGCTGTTGTTGTGTTTATTGGTTTTAGTGTTAAACTGCATTTAGAAACCTAAATGTTATCACACCATTTCTAATTTTAATAATTCTTATAAGCCCGTATGATTCATTTGAATCCCCGACTTTGACACCTGAACCAGAAGCCGCTCGTGCCGTTAACAGATCTGGATAATCATAAACTGTGGTTTTAAGGAGTGATTCTGAATGCAGCTGTAGAGGATAAACAAAAACAAATAAAACCAATTAAAACAAATGTACTACATAAAATTCACCCATCAGAAAATCAACCTGCTGTCATCCTACAAAATAAGGTTTAATTTAACGAAAAATAAAAATTGTTTGGAAAATACTGAGAGGTTTTTTTATATACTTCACACCTGAGCATAAGATTTATGAGTCATTTGATATTAATGATCTGATTATTCCTGAAAAGTTATCATCTTACCTACTTTACAAGCCCACATACCAAACCTAACCTCTGTCTTTGTCTCTGATAAGATTCAAATTGAACCTTCTCAGATCGAATTATAGCTCTGCAAAATAAATGTACCACAGCTACAGCGTTCCAGCAGAGCACACAGCAATACAAGAGCTAAACTGCTGTAGACTGTGGGCGGGGCTAACCTGCTGTAGGCTGAATGGGCGGGGCTAACCTGCTGTAGGCTGAATGGGTGGGGCTAAACTGCTGTAGGCTGAATGGGTGGGGCTAACCTGCTGTAGGCGGAGTGGGCGGGGCTAACCTGCTGTAGGCTGAATGGGTGGGGCTAACCTGCTGTAGACTGTGGGCGGGGCTAACCTGCTGTAGGCTGAATGGGCGGGGCTAACCTGCTGTAGGCTGAATGGGTGGGGCTAAACTGCTGTAGGCTGAATGGGTGGGACTAGCCTGCTGTAGGCTGAATGGGCGGGGCTAACCTGCTGTAGGCTGAGTGGGCGAGGCTAAACTGCTGTAGGCTGAGTGGGCGGAGCTAATCTCCTGCTGTTTCTAGTATATTCAAACAATACCTGATCGTCCATGTTCCATGTGGTCAGTCATCTTGTCCTTCATCCATGTCTTCCTTCCCTCCTTCGGTTCTGTCATTTCGTTCTTCTGTTTGTCCTCATCTCTCTCTCTGGGCAGAGCTAATTTCTGGATCTGTTCTCTGACCATTCCTGTTGACCGCTGCAACTCCGCTTTAGGGACTGAAGACATTTTCCCGTTTATATTTAGCCCCTCCCCCCCGCCGTCCTGCTTGGCATTCAGGCTGAGCGCCCTCTGCTTGACCATTCCCGGCTCGATCCTCCTGATGGCCCTGTCCAGAGCGGCGGGCCGGTGGGCGGAGTTTGGCCCCTGCAGCGACTGCAGGCTTGGTTTTGGTGGAAGGTTTGGTTTCTGATGGACGTTCGGTTTCAGGGCGGCCATCTCTGTGTTCCTTCCTCTGAAGTCCAGCTTTCAGTGTTTATCTAAAGTCCGTTTCAGGCGCTGACGGGAATCCAGGGGACTTCCAGCTCCGCAACTACAGCTTTTACACAAACATCCTCAAAATGACCCGAAGTGTGGAGCTGAAAGACACGATCAGACCTGCTTCATTAATACCACGCATTTAATATGCAGTGCAGTGCTTTACATTCATGTTTAAACTCAAAAACACAGAGAAAATCAAAGCTAGTTAATGAGAATTCAAAATAAAAGTTCCTTTTTTAAATAGTAATAAATAGTTTGAGTTCCTGTGGAGAATAAAAAGCTCCTCACATGCTGAACTCTTTGGGCTCTAAAGCTGGTCCTGCTACTAAACCCTGATTAGAGACGTATGAAGATCCTGCAGATCTTTAAACTGCAGATCCTTAAAGGCTAAAAGAAATGTTTTAAAAATTAATTCTAAAGTAAACAACTAGAGGAGCACCTGCTTTTCCAGGTTGTCAGAATTTCACAGGTAAAATGTTTGAACAACCTGGATTTTGTTCTGTTTTTAGTAAACTCCAAAACTTTGCAGTAGTTTAAACAAGAATAGGCGTCTTCTCTGCGTCTCTCAGAGTGAGGAGAACTCGTTAAGTTCTTTAGAGCGAAAAAAAGGCATTCTAAATTATATTATTGTGAGAAGTCATGAATAATATGTCTAACTTCACTCTTCTGTAGTACGTTCTTCTCATTTGTTCACTGTCGGTAAAGAGGATTTCTGACATTGTTTAGTCTTTAAACATTACAGTTAATCCAGCTAAATATGCTGGACAGACACTTCATGAGTTGTATAAACAGTATAGATATAGGACTGTATTGTTTATAAAGCTGTGAAACAGAAGTGTCAACAGGAGGATATATAAACTGAACAAACCAGTGTGATCCCAGTACGGAGCCCTGTGGTACCCCTAATGTCACAGTTAGTGTTAGTGTGAATGTGACGCCTGCTCTGGCTGCTGTTTCACTCACAGTGTATAAAACACTCACACTGTTTGACTCATAAACACAGGATTTATAGTCGGAGCTTCTCAAAAGCACAATAACACATCATACTTTCACAATATGTCGCTCTAATGCTTCCTGGTGACGAGCTCGGAATGACCGAAAAGTCCAGACAGACAGATTTCTGAACTTCCTGTTAAACAGACTCTCCATCTTTCATGACTACAGTCAGTAGTTTCTGATTGTGTTTTGTAATTTAAAGGTTAAAGGTTGTGATTTTGAGGAGAAGCCGTGATTTACATTACCTCGTTGTCGTAGTTCGTTGTTGAAGCTCATATCACAGGACAGTGAGAGTGGCGTGAGCCGTGTCTCTTTCAGTTAATAAAAATGACCACTGGTCAGTTCTTCTTTTGCCGGCTGAGTTTCTGTCTCACGTGGTGTTGGAGGGGAAGTGAGCACGTTTCAGAGTGAAGCAGTTTTTAGGGAAGAGGTGTTTGGGTGAGTGGTGTGAGTGGTGTGGGTGGTGTGGGTAGTGGGTCAGTTTTATTATTATTATTATATCTTTTGTTATTCTGTTTGGAAACTCATTTAAGGAAAGAGCTCTAGGTCATTTCATTACTTGGGGCCTCAGTGTCTGCAATAATAATTCTTGATACGCAAAAATGTAAAATAATTAATTCTTTAATTTGGATCAGGATTTGTTGGATTGTTGGATAATTTGCATCAGGAATATAGTTTAATAAATGCTAAACACAATAAATCAGTCACTACATGAAATCAAAGTTTGAGCATTATTGAGCATCTACTGTAGTGCTGCTAATCGCAGCGCTGTGATTAATTAGCCATTAGCCACTGTGCTGAACTGTTAGCTTTTACAGTAACTAGACAGTCAAATATGAGCCAAGTCATTTTTCTGTCTGTGGTTTTGGAGCTGCAGTGCAGGAGACTCATAGGTGACTGTCAGCCTCACTCTCTCTCTTTTCTCTCTCTCTCTCTCTTTCTCTCTCTCTTTCTCTCTCTCTCTCTCTCTCTCTCTTCTCTCTCTCTCACACACACAAACAGAATACTTCTGTAGTACACCTGTACCTTTAATCAGACCCCTCAAATTCTGGCTACATCACGCAAGAGTGAAATCAGGAAGTTAACTGACCACAGAGGTCAGAAAATTCCACCCAGAACAAACAGCTAAAAACTTTCAGTTCAGTGTTTCACTAAACAGTGTGATGAATAAAACACACAAACATTTATTATGATGCTGCTTCACAATATAGTTTATTAGTGTCCTCCGCTTTACACCACTGTAGACCTCGGAACTGATTATAAATCAATCAGTTATTAAATGATAAAGGATGCAATCCACAATCTAATGAACATATAAACTTATAGAGGATTAATATAAAATTTATTCAGCAGGTCTACAGTTTCTTCTCACAGTGAGACCTGAATTGAAAAGTCTTATCATTTACTGCTAAAAAACCTTTATACATCATATCTCACTATTACTCATTCACTATTATTGGTATCCTTTTAGAGGTTCTGAGAGAGGCTGTTAGTGTTGATCTGTAATAAACTAAACTGTCTCTCAGAGCTGAACAGCTAAACTGCATTTACACAGAGCTGGTTTATGTGTCTGTGGAGTTCAGTGGACGACGAGAAGCGTCACAGGGTTTCAGTCCAAACACAGACTGTCATTTTAAAAGGCTTCATACAGTCACATTCATCTCTCTCTCTCTGTTTCTTTCTCTTTGTGTATATCTCTCTGTCTGTTCTCCACTCTTTCTATTTCTCTCTCTCTCTCTTTTACAGCAGCACACATCCTCCTCCTTTAGACTCTACGTAGTTGGGGTCGAGGTCATTGGGCAGTTTCCCGTTTTCGGCCCACACGTTGAGCTCTCCGAACACCCCGGTCTCGATCATCTCCTCCTGCCAGGGGATCGGGATGTTTCCTGTAGCAAAATCTTCATAAAACTCGTTATCTTTACTGTCAATCACCACACCTTTCACCGTACTGAACGCTCCCACATCATCAATGTTCTTAGCGTACACCATCTTAGGGTCAGGAACAAACGGAGGGAGCAGCATCCCTGGGAGAGAGAGAGAGAGAGAAATGAATGTCCTAGCAATAGTGAAAAATCAGTCCTTCCAGTCTCCACTCCATCCAGTCACCTCCTCATCCAGTCACCACTCCATCCAGTCACCTCCTCATCCAGTCACCACTCCATCCAATCACCAAATATATTAATATGTTAATTGGGTCAGATTAGATTAGTGAGGTCCTATTCTATTCTGCGCTGTTATTCTGCTCTGTAAGCAGAGTGGAGGTCCTTACCCGCCTCCAGCCGTCCCCAGTTGAGCTCTTTAAAGAACGGCTGGTTCTTCAGCTCGGCACAGTCATTGTTCTTGAAGCCGAGCCGCTTCTCTGGATCTTTCTCCATCAAACCCTCGCAGATGTCCTTCAGCTCCTTACTGAAGGTGGAGGGGTAGGACACGGGGTCGTTTAGAATCCGCCGGGTCACCTCACTGTTCTCCACCTGATTACACGGGGGTGAGAGGAAGGGGGGGTGAACAGTACGAGTGAAGAATCTGATGTAACTGAGAGCTTTGGTGTGATTCAGTGTTTGTGTACCTGTTCTCCTCGAACTCTGAAAGGTCCTTTAGCTGCCACCATTTCATACAACGTCACTCCCAGAGTAAAATAATCCACTGTGTAATCATATTCCTTACTCTGCAGCAGCTCTGGAGCCATGAACCCTGAGAGAGAGAGAGAGAGAGAGAGAGAGAGAGAGAGAGACATCAGGCCTATAAACTTCATCAGTTTCTCATTAGGCTGAATGAATAACTGACTCTAAATGTACGTATTGTGATATAAACTGAGTCTGTTCTACAGTTTCTCGTTAGGCTGAATGAATAACTGACTCTAAATGTAGGTATTGTGATATAAACTGAGTCTGTTCTACAGTTTCTCATTAGGCTGAATGAATAACCGACTCTAAATGTAGGTATTGTGATATAAACTGAGTCTGTTCTACAGTTTCTCATTAGGCTGAATGAATAACCGACTCTAAATGTAGGTATTGTGATATAAACTGAGTCTGTTCTACAGTTTCTCATTAGGCTGAATGAATAACCGACTCTAAATGTAGGTATTGTGATATAAACTGAGTCTGTTCTACAGTTTCTCATTAGGCTGAATGAATAACTGACTCTAAATGTAGGTATTGTGGTATAAACTGAGTCTGTTCTACAGTTTCTCATTAGGTTGAATGAATAACTGACTCTAAATGTAGGTATTGTGGTATAAATTGAGTCTGTTCTACAGTTTCTCATTGCATTGAATAAGATTTCTACCAGTGTTTCGTAAAGCTTGTCCATCTTCACAGCACTTGTGGGAGCTTGGTGCTAAAGTGGCTCTGACTGCATGTGTAAAACTCTAACCTGGTGTTCCTGCGTATCCTTTGGTTTTGTCTTTTCCTGGTGGGAGCTCCACAGCCAGGCCGAGATCTGACAGACGAACGTGTCCTGAAAAGTGAAACATACAGAAGAAAAGACAGAAGTGTCTTCCAGTGGTCTGTGTTAAGTTACGATGTGTCTGACATGAATATAAAGCGAGGTCACTGAGGTTAAACTTGTTGCTTTGTGAGGTCCACCAAAGGTCATCTTCATCTCCATCTTCTTGTTTGAATGACATTGAGCCTTCTGCTCTCCATCACTGACATCTGATCCAGGATCTGGATACTCAGTGCGCATACCCTCACTCTGTATCTTTAAGACATATAACCCTGTAGAGTACACAAAACATGCATGTAAAACACCCCACAGAGCATATAAAACACCCTGCCAAGCCTGCAGAACACCCTGGCATGAGTGCAGAACACCCTACCAAGCCTGCAGAACACCCTGGCATGCCTGCAGAACACCCTGTCATGAGTGCAGAACACCCTACCAAGCCTGCAGAACACCCTGCCAAGCCTGCAGAACACCCTGGCATGAGTGTAGAACACCCTGCCATGAGTATAGAACACCCTGCCTTGAGTGCAGAACACCCTGCCAAGCCTGCAGAACACCCTGCCATGAGTGCAGAACACCCTGGCATGAGTGTAGAACACCCTGGCATGCCTGCAGAACACCCTGCCAAGCCTGCAGAACACCCTGCCATGAGTGCAGAACACCCTGCCATGAGTATAGAACACCCTGCCTTGAGTGCAGAACACCCTGCCAAGCCTGCAGAACACCCTGCCATGAGTGCAGAACACCCTGCCATGAGTGCAGAACACCCTGGCATGAGTGTAGAACACCCTGGCATGAGTGTAGAACACCCTGCCAAGCCTGCAGAACACCCTGCCATGCCTGCAGAACACCCTGTCATGAGTGTAGAACACCCTGCCAAGCCTGCAGAACACCCTGGCATGCCTGCAGAACACCCTGTCATGAGTGTAGAACACCCTGCCAAGCCTGCAGAACACCCTGGCATGAGTGTAGAACACCCTGCCATGAGTGCAGAACACCCTGCCAAGCCTGCAGAACACCCTGGCATGAGTGCAGAACACCCTGCCATGAGTGCAGAACACCCTGCCATGAGTGCAGAACACCCTGCCATGCCTGCAGAACACCCTGCCAAGCCTGCAGAACACCCTACCAAGTCTGCAGAACACCCTGCCTTGAGTGCAGAACACCCTACCAAGTCTGCAGAACACCCTGCCATGAGTGCAGAACACCCTACCAAGCCTGCAGAACACCCTACCAAGCCTGCAGAACACCCTGCCATGAGTGCAGAACACCCTGCCAAGCCTGCAGAACACCCTGCCATGAGTGCAGAACACCCTGCCAAGCCTGCAGAACACCCTGCCTTGAGTGCAGAACACCCTACCAAGCCTGCAGAACACCTTGCCAAGCCTGCAGAACACCCTGCCAAGCCTGCAGAACACCCTGCCTTGAGTGCAGAACACCCTGCCTTGAGTGCAGAACACCCTACCAAGCCTGCAGAACACCCTGCCAAGCCTGCAGAACACCCTGCCAAGCCTGCAGAACACCCTACCAAGCCTGCAGAACACCCTGGCATGCCTGCAGAACACCCTGGCATGAGTGTAGAACACCCTACCAAGCCTGCAGAACACCCTGCCATGAGTGCAGAACACCCTGCCAAGCCTGCAGAACACCCTACCAAGCCTGTAGAACACCCTGCCAAGTCTGCAGAACACCCTGGCATGCCTGCAGAACACCCTGGCATGAGTGTAGAACACCCTACCAAGCCTGCAGAACACCCTGCCATGAGTGCAGAACACCCTACCAAGCCTGCAGAACACCCTGCCAAGCCTGCAGAACACCCTGCCAAGCCTGCAGAACACCCTACCAAGCCTGCAGAACACCCCACCAAGCCTGCAGAACACGCTGCCAAGGCTGCAGAACACCCTACCAAGCCTGCAGAACACCCTGCCAAGCCTGCAGAACACCCTGCCAAGCCTGCAGAACACCCTACCAAGCCTGCAGAACACCCTGCCAAGCCTGCAGAACACCCTGCCAAGCCTGCAGAACACCCTACCAAGCCTGCAGAACACCCCACCAAGCCTGCAGAACACCCTGCCAAGCCTGCAGAACACCCTGCCAAGCCTGCGGAACTGCACAAGCGTCCAGTATGTCAACCTGTAGATCACTGGTTCATTGTATGTTCGGAGCGTGTGTGTACCTGCATCGTCCAGCAGAACGTTCTCAGGTTTGAGGTCTCTGTAGACAATCCTGTGCTGGTGCAGGTGCTCGAGACCACAGATAATCTGAGCTGTATAAAAACAGGCTCTGTTCTCATTAAAGCCTGGATTCTTCTCATCTACATTATACATATGATACCTGAGAGAGAGAGAGAGAGAGAGAGAGATTGTGGGTAAGAACAGCAGCACTGGAGCTGTTGAGCTCTACAGATTAAGCAGGATTAGGAGCAGCAGTGTAATGTAGGTAATCGTCGTGTTGGTAAACCTGAACTTTATTTCATTACTGACTCTCAGGTTTAGCGGTGACAAGGCTGGTGTCTCATCTAATGAATATTCAGATTCTCCAGTTTGAATCCTCTGGAGTCACTCTGGATAAAAACATGTTCTTAATGAATATATGATAAAATAGCTGGGACAGTATGTGAAATGCAGAAAGAAGTTAACACACAAAAACAAAAATAGTCCAAAGATATTTTATCTTTTTTAACTTGTCTTAACTCTGTTTAACTTGTTTTATCTTTCATTGTGTTTCATTTTGAAACTGATGCCTGCAATGTGTACCTAAAAAAGTTGAGATGGGAGCAAGTTAAGACTAGAAACATCTTAAACGGGTGATGCAGTCATGCTTGGGTATAAAAGGAGCATCCAGGAATGTCCGAGTCCTTTATGAGTGAGAATGGATCAAGGCTTCTCACTTTCCCAAAGAATGTGTCAGCAAATAATCCAAAAGTGTTATTACTACATTCAAGCAACTGCAAGGATTTTAGGTATTTCTCTGGGCCACAGAAGAAAAGGGCTATCCAGATTGTTACCAGCGTAAAGTTCAAAATCAGGGTCTGTTATGGGATGAGGGGGTGTTAGTGGGAACATCTGTAAAGGAGCCATTAACATTGAAACATATCCACACGTTTTGGAGCAACATGTGCAGCAGACTTCTAGATGACTTCAGGTAAAACATCAAATATTGTGTTTTTTGTACCTTTTTTGGTTTAATTTAGGTCAAACGGAATTTACTCATCGCTGCTTCCTGTTTTATTAGAATTTGTATAAGTTTGTATAAATAAAAATAAGTGTGAATAGAGAAAAGTTCTGGTTGAGATGAAGTGCAGAAGTGGCTGTGTGGTACCTGAGGTCACCTCCGTTCATGATAGTCATCACCAGGCAGAGGTCAGTCTTGGTCTGAAAGGCGTACGCCAGCGTGACGATGAAACGGCTGTGGACTTTCGCCAGAATCCGCTTCTCAATTATAGCACCCTGATCACAACACAGCACCGTTACTCAATTAGACATCTCACTGATTACTACATGGGTATATTATAGCCGTGTAGACAGTGTTACACATGATGAACAGCCACACGTTGAACTCCGCCTCTTTATTCACCTGCATCACTCATCACATCAGGTTTTTATCTGATGAGTTTTATTACTTTTTTATTATTAACAAACAGAAAATAAATAGTGGAGAAACTGTTTTTGCAGTGTCTGCTATTTCATGAAAAATGAGAAAAAATAAATAATAGGTGTCAGGTTATTCAGGGTCAGGTGAGTAAAGGTCAGGTGAGTGAGGGTAAGGTAAGTCAGAGTCAGGTGAATGAAAGATGGGATAGGCAAGGTCAAGTGAACGAGGGTCATCTTATTCAGGGTCAGGTAAGTCAGAGCCGGGTGAGTGAGAGGTAAGTCAGAGTCGGTTGAGTGAGGGTCAAGTAAATCAGAATCAGGGTGAGTGAGGGTCAGGTAAGTCAGAGTCAGGCGAGTGAGAGTCAGGTAAGTCAGAATAAGACGAGTGAGGGTCAGGTAAGTCAGAGTCAGGGTGAGTTGAGTGAGGGTCAGGTAAATCAGGGTTAGGAGAATGAGGGGCAGATCAGTCAGGGTCAGGTGAGTAAATCTCAGGTAAATCAGGGGCAGGTGAATGAAGATCAAGTAAGTCAAGGTCAAGTAAGTCAGGGTAAGGTCAGTGAAGGTCAGGTAAGTAAGGGTCAGGTCAGTGTGAGTGAGTGTTGCTTCTGTTCCTTTGTAAAGTGAGACTGGGATAAGCTAGAGTAAAGTTAAGGATAGTTACCCCAGTAATAACTTCACAATCATGAGGGACACTACATAAGGTGAAGGTTAACATGCATAACTGTTCTATCTGCATAACTGCTCTGCATAACTGCTCTATTCTACCTTCATAACTGCTCTATTCTACCTGTATAATTGCTCTATTCTGCTGGCATAACTCCTCTATTCTACCTGCATAACTGCTCTGTATAACTGCTCTATTCTACCTGCATAACTCCTCTATTCTACCTGCATAACTCTATTTTACCAATCTCAGTCCATTTCTACTCTACTCTCTACTGTTTAACGGCTTTTAAACTCCTCCCATTTAATATCCATTTCTTACTCTCTCTCTCTCTCTCTCTCTCTCTCCCTCTCCCTCTCCCTCTCTCTCTCTCTCTCTCTTTCGCTGGTTAGGCTGATTTGTGTTGCATCCTGGAGCTGCAAGCCTCTTTGCTCTGAAGCCAATACAGCGCGATTAGAGCTGCCTAATACTCTGCTCTCAGGTGACTCAGCTAATCCCATCGTTCTCTCTCTCTCTCTGTCTCTCTCTCTCCATCCCTCTGTTTCCTTTCTCTGCCTCTCTCGCACTGAAAGAAGAAAATGTAGGACAGTCATGAGTTTTTTCCTCTTTCTTCTGCAGAGGATTAGTGAGGAACTGTCCTGGTCCGTGAGTGTGAGGTTAACCCCCCTCCACCCCCCACCCCTTACATCATAGCCTTTACGCTTCTTCAACCTCTTCTTGTTCAGCTTCTTGTTGGCGTACATCTTCCCCGTGGCTTTCATCTGGCAGGCGTGCACCTCCCCGAACCCGCCTTTGCCCAGCACCCGAAACTCCATGAACCAGTCCTCGGTGACCGACTGGCTCTCTAGCCACTTAAACTGGACATAGCGCAGGAAGTACATGCTGCTCTTGAAGCCGGCCAGCGCTTTAGCCTCCATGTGCTTCAGCAGCTGCTGCTCGCTCTCTTTGAACAGGTCTCCCCGGACGTTCTTGGCGTCCTCCTTGACTCTGCTCACAGCCTTCTCCTCCAGGAAGCTGCAGAAGTTCTTGGAGCTCGACTCGTAGTACTTGTTGACCATTTTCTGTGCTTTCTGGGCGCGGTCCTGCTCCTGCGCCGTGTTGTAGTCCTCCATGTCTTTCCAGAACTCTCCAGCTGCCTTGTGGGCAGCCTCGCTGGCCAGATACTGCTGGAAGAGCCGCTTGCCGATGGGCTGTCGGACGCACATGCTGTCAAAGGTCGAGTCCACCGTGGCCTTCATGTGCTCACACTGCCTGATGTGGGGCAGGTTCAGCTTGGCTCGGTACTTCTTGTCCCGCATGGTTGCCGCAGCAGCGCCATCTACGCTCCCGCGGGCCGACACATAGGCCGAATTAGCCACCACCGTCTCCAGCCCACCGATATCCATCGCTGGACCTTGGAAGGGCGAGGACAATACAGATTAATGTTCTCAGAATTTTCAGTTAAGAGAATGAGAAATAGCAAAAAAGAGAAAAAGCTCATAAAACAGCTGCAGAATTAGCACACAGGTGAGAGCAGGCAGGGCTGACAAAATACACATTAAAATATATACAAATATATATTGGCAGGATACATATCAACTTTCTTAAAAAAATAAATGTTTCCACTGTGGAGAAGCGAGAGGAGTTTAGAGTGTTTATCCACCTCATTCAGGAGCCGAAACTGTACGAGCTCTTTCACTCACAGCTGGGATTTCAGCTGAGTCTGAGCTGATTTTGGAGATGGAAGCACAAAACAAACTTGTCTTTAAGTGCAAATAAGATCTGATTCTCTGCTCTCAGCAGAACAGACAGACGGTGACGCAGGCCTAGTATGAAAAGTAAAAGTAGCGTGAAGATCTTCATCACTTCATGCAGAAGCTGAATACGTTCTTTTGCATTTAACTCCATGTTCGTATCTCCGTTTGAGATTTCAGAGATTCTGATCCTTTTAGAGTTTGTGAAAAAGTTCTATTTGCTGGAACTCAGCTGCTCCATCATCTTGGTTGTTGTCATGCCAACAGCAGAGGCCCTTGATTTTGTTTACCGGTGAAAGTTTGCAAAAATGGAACAGACAGCGAATAAAATAATGTTGCATTTTTGCCTGTCTGAAAAGTGATGTTTGGTGCACTGGACTGGCTGTGTAATGGTCAGAAAGACCAATAAACAGCAGGAGCTCATCCAGAATGACCAGGACAGAACAGAGCTCATCACTGCAGCTCTGAAATCTCTACTCTGGCTTACAGTCAGTTACAGATCAGAGTTTAAAGAGCTGCTGCTAGTCCAACGGTTTCAGCCCAGAAACGGTCTCTCAGATCCATCGGCTCAGGTCAGCTAGGCCAGTCCAGAGCCCAAACTACCCATATACAGATGTATTTCAGAATATTTTGCCATATTAACCAAATATACTTTAACACGTTTGGGGAAATATTCCACATAAAATTGTACCAAACCAAAAATAACTGTGTGTAAATGTTTTTATCAAATCCATCTGAAAATGTGTGAAAATATCCAGAATCCTGTCTGATGCTCTTCACTGTCTGATACCTTTAGAAATGAATTTGTGTTCCAGTATCTTCATTTTAAATCTGATCAAATGATCCTTTATCAGGACAGAAGCGAGTGTTGTGGGTATTGATACTCTGTGAAAATGCAGTTATGATCTGATATCTTGTTTATGTGAAATACATTGTGTGTGAGAGTCTGACTGCAGACGTACATGGTTAATGTAAAGTACAGTGCAGATCACAGAAAATAACTAATACTGATAAATGCATTTTAAATATAGTTAACAAACACATTTTAGGCCATTTTCATACATTGCAAAAATATATCTGATAAATACATTTGGAATATATTTTTTCCATATGAGTGAACAGCTGGCAGAAGATCTCAGATGAGCTCCAAACGCAGTGATTTTTAAATCCAGATGAAAAACATCTCTTTTTATTGTCTATCATTGAGCTCTAACTCACTTTGATCTTACTGCACTTTATTTAAGTGTCCTACTTTTCATCTGTATTTATTTTACTTGCCTCATTTATGATCATTTTTATGTCTCTTTGTCTTTGATTTCCTTTAATGTTTTGGTTTAATGTTCAAGCACTTTGAGTTGCTGTTGTGAGATCCTGTATAAATAAACTTCACTTGCTTCATTGGTTATTCTGATTGGTGAAACTGGCTGTGTTGCAATGTTACAACCCTTTCAAAATAAAAGCCCTTAAAACTAAAATAGTGTAAAATATCACAAAACAACATATAAAAGAATCTACAGCACAGAGAAGAATCTGTTTCCCCAGAACAGCGTAGCGCTCAGGTGTTTGTGTGGATCTGTAAGCGAGGCCACAGATCCTCTTTGAAAACGAGGCTAGGCTAAATCCTCACCTGGCCCTGCACGCCAGCTAATTGATTAATGAACTCTAATTCTGGTCTAATTGATCTCCGGTTGGTTTTAAGACCGCTGCTCCCTTTTCTGGCACCTGACCTGATCGCAACTTTAAATCTCGTCCCCTTTGGCCCAGCCGGCTGCGTCGCAGCACTCTGCGGTGGGCTAACGGGTTTCGCTAGCGCTCGGTTTCTCAGCTGTGTGGTTCGCTCACGGCGCGAAATGAGAACTTTGTTCTGCTGTAAAAATCTTCTTCTCTGGGTCTTGTAAGAGTAACACATTTTCCATGACGTCTGCGATGCTAATGCTCTTATATTATGCTAGTTTGTTAGCACTGTGGTTCCTGTTCACTGTTTATTGTCTGGCTGTGTCTCTGAGGGTGAAGCTGGTGGAGTTTATGCTGTTTTTAGTCGTCCAGCTGTGCAGAGCACTTTTAAATGACCTCAAAACTTTAACCAGCTGGGTTGTTTGACTTGAAAACATGAAAATATGAAAATATGTTTACATTAAATAAATGTATCATGTTGTCTTTAAAGACATAATTTGTGTAAAATGTACAAAAATGAATAAAAGCACATTTCAGTGAATGAAAACTTGATTGATCCAAAGAGATTTCCACTAAATAAAACTGAAATAAACTCAACTGAAATGTTTCTGTTTTGTTCCTTCAACAGATAAACTTCGTGTTAAGAAGCTCTGTGTGTACTGATTAATGTAAATGTGTGGCATTAATAATTAAGCTCGTACAACAGTGTACTGTGTATTATTATTATTATTATTATTATTATTATTAGTCTGTCTTAGTCACGCAGTCTGAGTGATCAGTGTATGATCTGATGTATCTGATGTGTCTGTGTCCTAACATTCAGACTGTCGCACTTATTAAATACAGAGTTTTGTTTTTGTCTGATTTTGTGAATGTCTGACTGTAAAATCAGCCGCAGATTAAAGTTTCATAACACTATTATATTAATAATCATCTCTGCTATAAAGAGATTTAATCAGCCAACGATGAAGTCTTGTCTGTTTAGTTCTGATCACAAACTCAACCGCTCTTCATAACTAACTCAATTACATTAATCATCATTAAACTCATTACAAACTCATTATGCTATTATTGACCTTTAAACCCCCTTTAACACATTCACAGGTAAATACAGCTCGCTCTCTCTCTCTGTCTCTCTCTGTCTCTCTGTCTCTCTGTCTCTCTCTGTCTCTCTGTCTCTCTCTCTCTCTCTCTGTCTCTGAGTCTTACCTGAGCTGTTTCTCCTCCGAACAAAATAAACAAATAAACAAATCCACTGTTAGAGTTCGGCCATGACCACTGCAGAACTCCTCACTGTCCAGAACTCCGTCCACTACACATACCTTCACACACCGGATCTCACACTCCTCTCTCTCTAACACTCCCTCTCTCTAACTCTCTCTCTCTCTAACTCTCTCTCTCTAACTCTCTCTCTCTCTAACTCTCTCTCTCTAACTCTCCCTCTCTCTCTCTAACTCTCCCTCTCTCTCTCTAACTCTCTCTCTCTCTAACTCTCTCTCATACCGCCCCCCTTTATCCTCTCTAACTCTCCCTCTCTCTCTCTCTCTCTTTAGCACATGGTCTCTCGCTCAAGTACCCTCTCACGCTCTGGTACAGAGTAAGATAGGTAATGGAGGTGAGTAAAGGTCAGTGGGGCAGGGGTGTGGTCACAGATGTGTACTGGGCAGGTCAGTGGGGCAGGGGTGGGGTCAGTGATGTGGTGTGGGTGGGTCAGTGGGGCAGGGGTGTGGTCACAGGTGTGTACTGGGCAGGTCAGTGGGGCAGGGGTGGGGTCAGTGATGTGGTGTGGGTGGGTCAGTGGGACAGGGGTGTGGTCACAGATATGTAGTGGGTGGGGCAGTGGGGCAGGGGTGTGGTCAGAGATGTGGAGTGGGCAGGTCAGTGGGGCAGGGGTGGAATCAGTGATGTGGTGGGGCGGGTCAATGGGGTGAGGGGTGGGGTCAATGATGTGGTGTGGGTGGGTCAGTGGGGTTAGGGGTGTGGTCAGTGATGTAGTTTGGGCAGGTCAGTGGGGTGAGGGGTGTGGTCAGTAGGGCAGGAAGTACGGTCAGTGAGGCAGTGTGGGTGGGGTTTATGGGCTGTGTGAGCTCAGTGATGCTTCATTAGTGTGTGTGTGTGTGGATTATACTGTCACTGGTGATTAGTGTAAATCTGTCACAGAGACAAACACACACACTGGATAAGTCAGGATGGCCCTGACCGAAATCTTTCACCTCCCTCTCTCTCTCTCTCTCTCTCTCTCTCTCTCTCTCTCTCTCACTCACTCCCTCTCTCTCTCTCTCTCTCTCTCTCACTCCCTCTCTCTCTCTCTCTCTCTCTCTCTCTCTCTCTCTCTCTCCCCCTATCTCTGTCTCTCTCTCTCTCTCTCTCTCTCCAGGACGTGTGTGGTGTCTGAAGTTAGCGCTGTAGCGATGATGCTAATGCAGCTGGTGTGTAGTGGAAGCTCATCCTCCTCTGACAGCTGAATAAGAGGCTGATAACAGGGAGCAGCTTCAGCTCCACAGCTCAGCGCGCGTGGGAGGGGCAGCGTGTCTGACGCTGTATGAAATGTTCTAAATGATGTACTAAATGTATTTGACACATTTGGGGGGAGAGGTACAAAATTAAGGGTACCAGGTTCCACAAAGCGTTCTTTAGACGATTTGTAGAAGAACCAATTACCGAAAGAAAAGGAGTCCCAAAACGTACACTTGATAAACAAAAATATTCTAAATCTTATTTTTTTAATTCTTATGTGAATTAATACGCTGATACTATTTCATTATGTTCAGAAACTAAATCATTATTTTTTAAAAACATTTTTGTTGTTTTGAGAAATTTCTCTCATTCATGTTTATATATTAATAATTACATTTGTTTATATTTTCATCTCAGAGTAAAGATTTTGTATCACACAATAATGGCAGAGCAATTCACTCAATAACCAAAAAATAATAATTCAGTGCTGGATTTTTTTATTTTTAAATGGGTGAATCTGCCTCCATAGCTGAAGCTCTGAAACAGTGTAAACAGCGACATCTGGTGGTTTCCTGACATCATAGCAGCTCTAATCACACACACGGGGCTGAACTGACTCACTGCCTAGATCTAGATCTACTCCCCTTCACTCTGCTGACAAAGGACCATTAGAAACCACTAGGGGTAAAGCCTAATGCTTTTGCTCTCTAATGGGAATTAACTTAATGGTTTCCAATTGAGACCACTAGTTTCCTGTAGAACACTTTCAGATCCCATTAAGAAACCATCAAATGCACTTAAAATCAGCCACTGGTCACCTTTTAAACCATTAGGATCCTTTACACTGTGATATCAACCCATTAAAAAGACTAAACACATTACAGAACCATCAGGAACCAACAGACACACTTACTGAGTTCTAGCAGAGCTACATCTGATCTGTGTCACATCAGGTCAAAAAATCCGATCTGTGCCAGTTCAGTCTGCGAGTGTGAACACAGCCTCTGCTCTCTCTGCTCGGTTCTCCTGATGGTTCTCCTTCTGGGTCTGAGTTCTCTCAGTGTTCTGATTGGCTCCTGTGTTTAGGGGCGTGGCCTCAGAGCGACTGCAGCTGTGAGGCCCAATTAACGACGTGAGATAAAAGCCCAGAGAGCAGCTCGTCTCCCTCTTTAACTGTGACCTGCTGCTTTGGCTGATCTGCTGTATCTGTTGCTCTGATGGAGCTGGTCAGTGAGATGTTTAAGCTGCTGCTTCTGCTGACGACTTTGGTCTGTTTGGACTTTGGTGTCGGGTCAGCAGATCCTCCTGGTCCTGATCCCCCTCAGCTCTACGCTTCTGGTCCTCACCAGGAGCTGAAGGAGCCGCTCGACAGGTCCAACACTCAGGTCAGAACCGTCTCTGTGACCTGCTATCCCACCTACATGGATGTCCGGGTGAAGGCGGATCTGTTTGGGCTGGGGATGATTGTGGACCCTGCAGACCTGTGGCTGGGAGCTAATGACCAGTCCTGCAGAGTGACCTCAGCTTCTGATGAAGAGTACATCATCCAGTCAGCCCTGATGGACTGCGGCACTCAGCAGTGGGTATGAAGACCAACACGTTCATGAAATATTATATTGGGTCACAAATATTTAAGTCCATCAGACGATATGGCTGAAATGGGAGTCATGACTTTATCGTTCGTTTGTCTTTTGGTCTCTGATGAGAAAACCCATTTGTGGGTTTCTGATGAGTAAATCCCATTTTAGAAAATCTAAATATGAAATCAGATCAAACTGTTAAAGTCCAGAAAACTGGACCTATTCTTTTTCCACTGTCCATCAGTCCAGAACTGAAAGGTCCAGTTTTATGGTTTTTGGTGCTGAAGATCTGTACAAACAGGACCTGACCCGGTTCTTCAGGGTGTTCTCCTCTGTGTTGGCGTCAGCTGCAAGGATTAGCAAATGTTAGTTTAGCGAGTTCTTTACTCTTCCAGGTGAAAGTCACTGACCCTGATGTTAAAACTGATGTTGCTGACCTGCTACATACTGCCTCCCCAGAGTACAGGCCAGCAGACCATTAGAGGGCGCTTTACTGCCCACAGGCTGAGAAACCCTGGCGTAAGCTAGCTAGGAGGCTTATGTTAAACAGTCATTCTCCATGTGTTCTTTGTGTGACTGCAGGACGGTGCAGTGTATCGTTTTACCAGCCAATAAGGAAAGATAACCAACCAAATTAGACGCTTTAGTGACGTTCGGTGCTTTAAACACCCTGAGACATTCGTCCACTATGCACACCTAAAATGATGGTTCAAGGGTTCTTTAGTGAAGAAAATGGTTCTATATAGCACCACAAAGATTTCTTCTAATGTAGCAAGCCTAACGTTGTAACAATAGAACCCTTTTTGGTGCTATATAGAATTTGGCACTATTTTCAAAAAGGTTCTATATAGAACCATCTACAGCACGTTCTGTCAATCTGAAGAACCATTTCATGATGCAAAGAACCCCTTAATCATGGAAGGGGTTCTTTGAGTGTTCATGGTTCTATATAGAAACATTTTCTTTACTAAAGAACCCTTGAAGAACCGTCATTTAAGTGTAACTTAAAGATTTAATCACTGTTTTAATCAGTGAACAGGTTCTGAGGCTGTTTCAGTCATACTAAACTCAGCTGTTGGATATGAAGGAGTTTACAAAGCACTATTTCATGTTTACTCTGGACTGGAATGTTTTTGTTTATTTTAGTATAAATATTTTAACTGGATCTGGATTAAAGTTATATGGGGAGGGTCTGTCGTTAAGACGGGTCTTGTGTAGTGAAACCTTACAATTTCAGCCTGAAACCAAATTTGCTCAGCTTATTTGCATTGTATACCTGAGTGTCCTGCTGTTGACCTGAAACTTTGAGAATTTGTAGTTAGGTAAGTTAGGTAACTATGGGGTCAGGCAGGGTCAGACACTAGAGGGCGCTCAGAGGAGGGTCCAGAATGTATTTACTTTAATTTCACTGAAGCATGTTTTTTAATGCCACTCCTGGACTCTGTGCTGTTTTGTGTTTATGTATGTAAAGCACTCAAATGTGCTAAACATGCTGATAAACATGCTGAATTGATGTAAATGAGCGAAGGTACCAGTACATTAAGTCACCAGTGTTTAATGACACTGAGCAGAGCTTAAATACAGGTGTTTACAGGAGGTCTGTGGTATGTCTTTTTGTGCAGGTGACAGAAGAAGCCCTTATTTACACTAATCTGCTTGTCTACTCTCCATCGCCCTCTCTGGGTGGACTGGTTAGAATGGAGGGTGCGGTCATTCCTGTTGAATGTCATTATAAAAGGTAAACAGAGCTGACAGACCTGGACGCATGCAGGTAGGGCTGGGGAAACACTGATCTAATGATGTTTGGATGAAAAAGATAAGCAGAGGCCCCCATTACTGACTTTTAGTTAAATATAATTCAGTGTTTGAAGCTCCTTAGCAGATACTGTTTTAGAGCCGTAAAATGCATTATTTACATTCTCCACTAGATGGAGCTGTAGTTTCCAATGAGACCAAGGCTTCAGTCAGTGGTGGTCAGAAGGTGGCCAACTATTAACTTTTCTGAGCCCAAACAAGAGCTCCAAGTAGTAATGTTAATCACAGTATAATGCAGTATGGCAGATCCCAAAATCATGCTAATATCATGGGGCCTGCAGTGCTCAGCTTACAGAAGGACATATATTTTGATATGATGTCTTCATATTTTCAAATATACTGACTATTAGGTAGCATCTTATTAGTTTTCTGTAGGTTCCCCCAGTAACATTCGTTTTCTCGAGCTGTTGAATGTTGACATGGTAATTTAATTTATTTATTCAGGAAGGTTGTTATTGACAGTGACCCAGTTCTGCCCACCTGGATCCCCCACCAAACCACCGTGTCTGCACTGGAAAACCTGCACTTCACACTCAGACTGATGACCAGTGAGATTCAATAAGTTTTCAATGTTCTCCATTCATAAAAGGTCCAGACTCCACCCACAAATGAGTTCTGTCATAGCTACTGTTGTGAGATTGGACAAACTTTACAGAACGCTGGTAAAAATCATTCAGCCTAATGAGAAACTGTAGAACAGACTCAGTTTATATCACAATACCTACATTTAGAGTCAGTTATTCATTCAGCCTAATGAGAAACTGTAGAACAGACTCAGTTTATATCACAATACCTACATTTAGAGTCAGTTATTCATTCAGCCTAATGAGAAACTGTAGAACAGACTCAGTTTATATCACAATACCTACATTTAGAGTCAGTTATTCATTCAGCCTAATGAGAAACTGTAGAACAGACTCAGTTTATATCACAATACCTACATTTAGAGTCAGTTATTCATTCAGCCAAATGAGAAACTGTAGAACAGACTCAGTTTATATCACAATACCTACATTTAGAGTCAGTTATTCATTCAGCCTAATGAGAAACTGTAGAACAGACTCAGTTTATATCACAATACCTACATTTAGAGTCAGTTATTCATTCAGCCTAATGAGAAACTGTAGAACAGACTCAGTTTATATCACAATACCTACATTTAGAGTCATTTATTCATTCAGCCAAATGAGAAACTGTAGAACAGAGTTTCTATCTGAGTACCTGTTTATCCTGCAGGCTGTGGTGTAACAGGCTGTTTCTCTCCTCTGCAGGTGATTGGCTGTGGGAGCGAGGCTCTGGCGTTTACTTCCTGGGGGATAAGATTAATATTGAGGAGGTTATTTATACGCCCCGGATGGATTTGCGTGTGTTTATTGATAGTTGTGTTGCCACGACAACTCCTGATACAAATTCAGCCCCCAGATATGCCTTTATTGATGAAGGGTGAGTGATCAGGGAGATAACGGTTTAAATCACTGATCTGCAGTGATCAGTGAACTTACTGCTTCCTTACAGCCTGATTGGGCATCAGTTCATATACATTCATCACAGTGTAGTCTTTAGTCATCACTTGTGCGTCAGCTATTTAGAGGGCAAACACCACAGATACCCCAGCAACCGCTTAATTTCCAGGTATTGCTAGAAAGTCTTCAGGAAATCGGCTTTAAGTTTTTGTTCCATAGCCGCCGGGCCCCCCACTGTTTTTTATAATACTCGAAACTCTCTACATTATTTTTGTTACTGTTTGGCCTTTTTTAAATTGATTAATAGCTGATAAGCAGTGATACACAGTAAAATCACTGTAGCCCTATGACAGATAAAATTAGGACGGTGTCTTCAAGCCAGTTTTAATGGGTGTTTTTTCCAGAATAATGTAGGTGGTTTGTGTTGAGGTTATGGCTGGAGTTATATGGATTAAATTAAATTAATGGACTAAATGATCTGAAATAACAATTCTACATTAAATTATCATTTTCTTCTGTAGCTCTTCTGTAAATAAAGTTTTCACACTTCCAGAACTTCTAGATCTTTATCTTTTTAAAAAGAATTAAGACCTTTTAGATGCTTTTATAAATGATTTTTTTGTGATAGAATTATGGATCTCTTCTTAAAGAATCTTAAGGTGTTTCTTAAAGACCTATTTTGAATTAATTTTGCTTTGTTTGAGAACCTCAATCTTTTAAGAAGAATCTTAAGGTCTTTCCTTTTAGATGTATTTGATGGGCTTCTTGAGAAATTCTGGAAATTTAAGTGGAATTTCAAGACTTCTTTTTAGATTGTTTTTTTTTTTTCTATGAAGCACCTTGATTTGATGGAATGTGCTATTTAAATTATTATTATTATTATTTAGGGTTCACTGATGGTTTGTCAGACTAAATTTAAAGTAACTTGTTTGTTTTAAACTCCTCTGGCTCCTCCTCAGGTGTTTGTTGGATGGTCCGCTGACCGGCTCAAACTCTTACTTCCTGCCCAGAGAGCGTCCGGGCAAACTGCGGCTCCAGCTGGATGCCTTCATGTTCCACCAGGTGGAGAGCGCTCAGGTATGTCTGCTGTATAAACACTCCCGTCTGGCCTGAGTCTGGCCTGAGTCTGGCCTGAGTCTGGCCTGAGTCTGGCCTGAGTCTGGCCTGAGTCTGGCCTGAGTCTGGCCTGAGTCTGGCCTGAGTCATAATGGACTGAAGTGCGGCTCACTGCTAATTGGTGGGTATAAGCTTCCATTGCTTGTTAGCTACATTAGCCTTGTAGCTCCAGTGCTAAAACTAAAGGTATATAACATGTTCATACGACAGTATTCATGGGCTGTTACTGCAAGACTATTATTGTATTTCTGCCAGATCTTCATCACCTGCACTCTAAAAGCTTATCCTCTTAATTATGTGAGTGAGTCCATGAGCAAGGCGTGCTCCTTCATAGATGGCAGGTGAGACTGTTATTTATTATTATTATTATTTTTGTTATTATTTTCGATCATTAACAGTAGTATTTCTCACTGTTAGCTGGAGATCAGCGGAGGGAGATGATTGGACCTGCAGTAGCTGTCAGAACCGGTTCCAGTCTGATCAGCTCGGGTGGGACCAGGCTGTGCCGTTCTCCCCCAGAGCTCTACCGGAGTCTGGCTGGAGGAGCACCGGGGTTTCTCCAAGGATGGCGATTGGTTCTGAGGGTGAGTTGGGCTGTGTTCAGACTGCTGGCCCAAATCCAAATTTTACCATGCAAAGAACACTTTACACATACAGAGGGGTGTTTGAGTGTTCGTGGTTCTACATGGAACCATTTTCTTCTCTTAAAACTTTTTAAGAGTGTAGGTTTAAATAGGTTTCTATGGTTACAAGGTCTAAATCTGATTGAGTTTATGAAAGTGTGGAGCTGTAAGTGATCAGATCTGTTCTCCATCCAGATCAGTTCTAGATTAGAGGAACAGTGAACCAGAGTGATGGCTGATGTTTAAATGTATACAGAAATGCATGAAGTAGTTCTGATCAGCTGATTGATTTGCAGCGCTGGAGCAGGAGGCAAGCGTAGGCCCGCTGTCTGTGGTCGCCTGGAGGAATAAACTGGGCATGATGGCGCCCCCTAGAGCGAGGGGTGTTCCTCACTTCCCTTCAGTCAGCAAAAGGAGACCCATCCCCCATCACAGCCTGTGGAGGAATGGAGAACCCAGCAAGAAAGGTCTGTAAAGCTGACCTGTGGAACCGTCCCGTTAGTCTCGTTTTAAATGTCCGTGTCAGTAAAATTCCCGTCTTTGTGCAGATGTGGAGAATGCGGCCGTCACGGATGCAGAAGAGTTTGAGTTCACAGATCTGTGGGAAGACAGGCGGTCAGCAGCAGAAGGTACCCTGAAATATTAGTGACTATTCCATTAATTATTTGGGGTCATTCTCAGCACTGTAGTGACACCGACATGGTGTTGGTGTGTGTGGTGCTGGTACAAGTAGATCAGACAGCAGTGCTGCTGGAGTTTTTAAACACTGTCCACTCACTGTCCACTCTATTAGACACTCCTACCTTGTCAGTCCACCTTGTAGATGTAAAGTCAGAGATGATAGCTCATCTGCTGCTGTGCAGTTTGTGTTGGTCATCCTCTAGTCCTTCATCAGTGGTCACAGGACGCTGCCCACAGGACGCTGCCCACAGGACGCTGTTGGCTGGATATTTTTGGTTCTCAGCCCAGCAGTGACACTGAAGTGGTTAAACTCCAGCAGCACTGCTGTGACAGTAAAATACATCCTCATTAAGTGTTTGTCCTTTAGCTGTAACACAGCACTGCATTAAAGAATGTTTTACTTTTAGTTAAAAGGAGGCTGGTGTGATTAGCAGCTGCAGTTCACTATGCAAAGTGCTATTAAATTGTGGTTGATTGTCCAAATTGTGATTAACTGCAATTGACAAGTGCAGTTAAGTGTGGTAATTCATGACTGACCACACAAAATGCAATTAATTGCTTGACCACATAAAATAACATGATTAACTACAAGGTTAAATACATTTCACTTCACTGCACAAAATGTGATTCACTGCACAAATAATGCAATTAATCAGTAACTTTAGTCCCTTTAAGGCCTTGTTTTTCATTGTTTTAATGCACTGTAGGCTTTCAGCACCAAAAATCACAATCAGTCTACAGTGCATTAGTGCCTTTTTCTTTAGCTGTATTTGTTATTTGGATGTCAAATGTGGATCCTGTGCTCCTGCAGACTCTGAGGCCGATGGAGCTCCTGAATCTGAACCCACAGAAACTCCAACACCTTTCACAGCCTCCTCTGAGCCCCTCACAGCAGAAGGTAATGCTGAATGGCTGTGTCTCAAAGCAATACTTTGAACTAAAATGAGCCCCACATCACTCCTAGCCTGAATGTAGTCAGACATGTTTGTCTGAAGTCTTCCTCCTTTAGTTTTAACACTGGAGCTACGAGGCTAATGTAGCTAACAAGTAATAGGAGCCTATACCCCACTGATTAGCATGAGGCTAACTGGATGCCAGTCATGACATGCTTGCCTCCTGTTTGTTAGCATCCTTTTTTTGCCAGATCTGTACTGAATTTTCTGTTCCACATTAAAAGGTAAAATTAATCAAATGTCTGGAATATTCATCCTAAAGATGTCCGCATGACACTATGCTAACATGATTCCATGAGGAGTTCATTTACAATAACCGCTAAACTTCCTCCTTTAAAGTGGAGCTGACTGTAGTTATTCTAACTCAGCTCTGAACCCTCAACACGTTTAGTCTAAAGCTGTTATTGTTCATCATTGAGGCATCAAGAGTTTGTTTTACAGCAGTAACAGTCAAACACAAGCGCTGTTCTGCAGCAGAACCTGAATCAGCCAATTCAACCAATCAGCGCGCAGTGTTCGGGTCAGGTGACTCAAACTGCCGCCTGTTTGAGGCAGAATCTCAAACGACTCCTTTTCCTACAAAGAGCAGCAGGTCTTAAACTAACGGCTGCTGATCTAAACAGAGCTCAGTGAGTCTCAGAACTCGTACACAAAGACTAAACTTAACTCAGTGACTGTATAGGGAGCAGTGAGGCGTCTGAGACTCAGGATTTTCAGAGCTCTGATCTTATAGATGATTAATATTCATCATTAACGGCTGTTTGTGATCAGTTTTCAGATGTTTACCTGCTTGTTTTATGGTAAAGATGTTAAATATTGACCTTAAGGAAATTTGTGTCCATTCAAGGGCTTTAACTCAAACATGAGGTGACCACTGGAGTTACCTGCTTTTGACAATTTGAATAAAACAATTTTTTAATGGTGTCATTTGGTTATCTGTTATTTACTGAATCAAAACAGCCCAAATGTGATTATTACCTGGAATGCACAATTTTAAAAAAATTATAAATTAATGATTTAATTTATTGAAATGGAGGTTTTTGCAAATATCTTGTGCTGTAACCTATTTGACTTATTTTTGCAGATGATTCTTTTCTCCTCCCAACTGTGAGCTCACCTGAGGACATGACTACAGTCCATTCGCTGGACTTCAGCCCTGCGGCAGATGAACTAGATGCTAACTCCAACTCTCCAGTCTATCCTTACAGTAGCACGATGCTAAACGCTACATCGTCGGAAAGTAAAGCCGACACAGTGACCTCCACTGTCTCTGAGGGCCGTCCTAAAGGTTTACGGAAAGGACCAGTCTGAAGTGATGCGATGTGGATGGTCAGTTTGAGAAATAAACGTTCCAAACTGCATCAGCTGTGGGCTCTTCATTTCTCCTGGGCTAGCAGATTAGCATCAGCAGTGACTCTACTGTTTTACTGGGGTTTCCTACATTGGAGATCCTAATGTTTGTGAAACGCTCCATTTTAGTCAGAACTGTTCACAGTGGTGGTGATAGGAACCAGACATCCACCTCTAAAATCTCCCTCACAAAGTTCCTACATGAAATGGTTATGAATTCACTGCCTGATGACTGAGACACTGTTTTATGGTAGTTTAGAGAACTTAAACTCCATTCATGGTGGAGGGATACATGCAGGGCGCTGTGAGGCAAAATAGTCCCCAAAGAAAACTTATTACTTCAGATTTTCCACTATTTTCCATCATCAACATTCCATATAAACTCAGAAGACTTGTGTAGGTTCACTGGTGGTTCTGGATAGTTAATAAAATGTCTATTTGTGTTGTCAAGGCGACCCCTGGTTCCTATCACCACCACTGTAAAGACGTCTGTTTCGATTTGCTCACTAGTTCTGTATGTAGTGAATCAGTACATGGTAAATATGAATTCAGGCACTGGCTTCATCAGTGGAGGGAGATACTGGGATATGGGTTACATGTTTAGTTTAATATGAACAACAGAACAGAACCTAAAGCCCAAGACGATCTCGCACTGAGTGCGTTCACTTGTACGTTATCTGATCAACATGTTTACATGCTCTTGAGTAATCAGAATTGGGAAACTCCAGGTCTACATGAGTCAGACAGTAATCAGATTTCTGCTTTATAATGAGCCAATGAACTCTCAGAAGACAAGCTATAAACATAACGCAGAGCTCAAACTTCATGCTGTGGCTTCCCCCCACATGGAGCTGCTTTACCTGAAAATAAGAACATACTTCATCTAGAAGACGAAGAATATTTAAATCCTTCATTTCGTTGAGTGTATTTGGTTTCAGTGTCGCTCCAAAAGTGTTTAGCTGTGTCCCGTGGCGACGCTGCTCGCTCATTTCCGGTACCACCATCTGTTTTCACACATGCTCCGACTGAGAAATCTGAAAGAAATCAGAGTTTACAACACTGAGAAATCTGATTCCTGAGCTCAAATCCAGCCTCTTTATCAGATTTCTTAATCGGATTTCTAGATCGGAGTATGGTGTTTACATGATCATTTGAATAATCAGATAACTGCAGAAATCTGATTACGATTGGATTGAGTGAATGTAAACTCGCTCAGTGAGAGTAGTTTAATGTAATGAGGACGTGGCTGGTGCTGCACTCGGACTGAATGTCTCAGTCTTAATGGTCAGTACTGCGGTGTGTTGGGGAAGGAGACTCAGCAGAGGCTGTGATTCTGCTCTTCATTCACACCAGCAGAAGAGACTCATACAGAGAGCAGAGAAGGGCTCTCAGCTTCATTAGGCTTAAGTGTAAATTTTTTTTTTCTTTATAAATACAAGTCCCATCCTGGGGGGGGGGTGCACTGTGATGTCAGGTGACTAGTCAGGTGCTTTAGTCACAAGGCACTCACAGAACAGGCAGGAGCTCCAGTGGCAGGAACTTACAGTTCTCACCACAACTGCTGTAACAAAACAAAGCCTCCTCTGATTACAAACCCATAGAAACCATTGAGTTTCTGTTTGTTCCTGATGGTTCTGTAGTGTGGTGATGTGGGAGCGTTCAGTACGGTGAAAGGTGTGGTGATTGACAGTAAAGATAACGAGTTTTATGAAGATTTTGCTACAGGAAACATCCCGATCCCCTGGCAGGAGGAGATGATCGAGACCGGGGTGTTCGGAGAGCTCAACGTGTGGGCCGAAAACGAGAAACTGCCCAACGACCTCGACCCCAACTACGTAGAGTCTAAAGGAGGAGGATGTGTGCTGCTGTAAAAGAGAGGGAAATAGAAAGAGTGGAGATCAGTCGTCCACTGAACTCCACAGACACATAAACCAGCTCTGTGTAAATGCAGTTCAGCTCTGAGAGACAGTTTAGTTTATTACAGATCAACACTAACAGCCTCTCTCAGAACCTCTAAAAGGATACCAATGATAGTGAATGAGTAATAGTGAGATATGATGTATAAAGGTTTTTTAGCAGTAAATGATAAGACTTTTCAATTCAGGTCTCACTGTGAGAGGAAACTGTAGACCTGCTGAATTAATTTTATATTATTCCTCTATAATTTATTAGATTATGAAATGATGTAGCCAGAGTGTGAGGGGTTAGTTACAGGTATGAGTGTCTGGGTAGGAAGTATTCTGTCTGAGAGAAAGAGTCACTGCAGTGAGGCTGACAGTCACCTATGAGTCTCCTGCACTGCAGCTCCAAAACCACAGACAGAAAAATTACGATTGTTCACATTTAACCACCTGGTTACTGTAAAAGCTAACAGAGCAGAGTGGCGGCTAATGGCTAATTAACCACGGCGCTGCCTTTAGCAGCACTACAGTAGATGTTTTGGGGTGAACGACTGAAGACTGAGATTTCCTCACAGTATTTCTGCAGTAGTTTTCTTTACTACTGTTTATCTACCTCAATATAGCCTGAAGTATAACATAACATATCAAACGGGCCACACTTTATCTTTTCCCCCCAACATGTTAAATTCAGCATGTAAACAGTAGCTGTGCATTAAAACGTGCATTAAAATGTGCAGATGTGTGTAGAGGATACAAACTTACAATTATATATATTTTTTTCATGATGCTTAAACTTTGATTTCATATAGTGACTGATTTATTGTGTTTACCATTCGTTAAACTTTATTCCTGATCCAAATTAACAAATGATTACTTCTTTCTCAATTTTGCTTGTTAAATATGATTATTGCGGACACTGTGAGGAGAGACCCCAAGTAATGAAATGACAGACCTCCAAACAGAATATCAAAAGGAAAACTGAGCCATATAATCAGCCACCTCTAAAATTCTCCCACCGTCACTCACCCAAACACCTCTTCCTAAAAAAAAGTCAAATCACTCTGAAACATGCTCATGTGCCCTTCAACGCCATGTGAGAAAGAAAGAGCCAGAAAAAGAAGAACTGACCAGTGGTCATTTTTATTAACTGAAAGAGACACGGCTCACGCCACTCTCACTGTCCAGTGATACGAGCTTCAACAACGAGCTACGACAACGAGGTAATGTAAATCACGGCTTCTCCTCAAAATCACAACCTTTAACCTTTAAATTACAAAACACAATCAGAAACTACTGACTGTAGTCATGAAAGATGGAGAGTCTGTTTAACAGGAAGTTCAGAAATCTGTCTGTCTGGACTTTTCGGTCATTCCGAGCTCGTCACCAGGAAGCATTAGAGCGACATATTGTGAAAGTATGATGTGTTATTGTGCTTTTGAGAAGCTCCGACTATAAATCCTGTGTTTATGAGTCAAACAGTGTGAGTGTTTTATACACTGTGAGTGAAACAGCAGCCAGAGCAGGCGTCACATTCACACTAACACTAACTGTGACATTAGGGGTACCACAGGGCTCCGTACTGGGATCACACTGGTTAGTTCAGTTTATATATCCTCCTGTTGACACTTCTGTTTCACAGCTTTATAAACAATACAGTCCTATATCTATACTGTTTATACAACTCATGAAGTGTCTGTCCAGCATATTTAGCTGGATTAACTGTAATGTTTAAAGACTAAACAAAGTCAGAAATCCTCTTTAGCGACAGTGAACAAATGAGAAGAACGTACTACAGAAGAGTGAAGTTAGACATATTATTCATGACTTCTCACAATAATATAATTTAGAATGCCTTTTTTTCGCTCTAAAGAACTTAACGAGTTCTCCTCACTCTGAGAGACGCAGAGAAGACGCCTATTCTTGTTTAAACTACTGCAAAGTTTTGGAGTTTACTAAAAACAGAACAAAATCCAGGTTGTTCAAACATTTTACCTGTGAAATTCTGACAACCTGGAAAAGCAGGTGCTCCTCTAGTTGTTTACTTTAGAATTAATTTTTAAAACATTTTTTTTAGCCTTTAAGGATCTGCAGTTTAAAGATCTGCAGGATCTTCATACGTCTCTAATCAGGGTTTAGTAGCAGGACCAGCTTTAGAGCCCAAAGAGTTCAGCATGTGAGGAGCTTTTTATTCTCCACAGGAACTCAAACTATTTATTACTATTTAAAAAAGGAACTTTTATTTTGAATTCTCATTAACTAGCTTTGATTTTCTCTGTGTTTTTGAGTTTAAACATGAATGTAAAGCACTGCACTGCATATTAAATGCGTGGTATTAATGAAGCAGGTCTGATCGTGTCTTTCAGCTCCACACTTCGGGTCATTTTGAGGATGTTTGTGTAAAAGCTGTAGTTGCGGAGCTGGAAGTCCCCTGGATTCCCGTCAGCGCCTGAAACGGACTTTAGATAAACACTGAAAGCTGGACTTCAGAGGAAGGAACACAGAGATGGCCGCCCTGAAACCGAACGTCCATCAGAAACCAAACCTTCCACCAAAACCAAGCCTGCAGTCGCTGCAGGGGCCAAACTCCGCCCACCGGCCCGCCGCTCTGGACAGGGCCATCAGGAGGATCGAGCCGGGAATGGTCAAGCAGAGGGCGCTCAGCCTGAATGCCAAGCAGGACGGCGGCGGGGAGGGGCTAAATATAAACGGGAAAATGTCTTCAGTCCCTAAAGCGGAGTTGCAGCGGTCAACAGGAATGGTCAGAGAACAGATCCAGAAATTAGCTCTGCCCAGAGAGAGAGATGAGGACAAACAGAAGAACGAAATGACAGAACCGAAGGAGGAAAGGAAGACATGGATGAAGGACAAGATGACTGACCACATGGAACATGGACGATCAGGTATTGTTTGAATATACTAGAAACAGCAGGAGATTAGCTCCGCCCACTCAGCCTACAGCAGTTTAGCCTCGCCCATTCAGCCTACAGCAGGTTAGCCCCGCCCATTCAGCCTACAGCAGGTTAGCCCCACCCACTCAGCCTACAGCAGGTTAGCCCCGCCCATTCAGCCTACAGCAGGTTAGCCCCGCCCACTCAGCCTACAGCAGGTTAGCCCCGCCCACTCAGTCTACAGCAGGTTAGCCCCGCCCACTCAGCCTACAGCAGGTTAGCCCCGCCCATTCAGCCTACAGCAGGTTAGCCCCGCCCATTCAGCCTACAGCAGGCTAGCCCCACCCACTCAGCCTACAGCAGTTTAGCCTCGCCCATTCAGCCTACAGCAGGTTAGCCCCGCCCATTCAGCTTACAGCAGGCTAGCCCCACCCATTCAGCCTACAGCAGTTTAGCCCCACCCATTCAGCCTACAGCAGGTTAGCCCCACCCACTCAGCCTACAGCAGGTTAGCCCCGCCCATTCAGCCTACAGCAGGTTAGCCCCACCCATTCAGCCTACAGCAGGTTAGCCCCGCCCATTCAGCCTACAGCAGGTTAGCCCCGCCCATTCAGCCTACAGCAGGTTAGCCCCACCCACTCAGCCTACAGCAGTTTAGCCTCGCCCATTCAGCCTACAGCAGGTTAGCCCCGCCCATTCAGCCTACAGCAGGCTAGCCCCACCCATTCAGCCTACAGCAGTTTAGCCCCACCCATTCAGCCTACAGCAGGTTAGCCCCGCCCATTCAGCCTACAGCAGGTTAGCCCCGCCCACAGTCTACAGCAGTTTAGCTCTTGTATTGCTGTGGGCTCTGCTGGAACGCTGTAGCTTTGGTACATTTATTTTGCAGAGCTATAATTCGACCTGAGAAGGTTCAATTTGAATCTTATCAGAGACAAAGACAGAGGTTAGGTTTGGTATGTGGGCTTGTAAAGTAGGTAAGATGATAATTTTTCAGGAATAATCAGATCATTAATATCAAATGACTCATAAATCTTATGCTCAGGTGTGAAGTATATAAAAAAAACCTCTCAGTATTTTCCAAACAATTTTTATTTTTCGTTAAATTAAACCTTATTTTGTAGGATGACATCAGGTTGATTTTCTGATGGGTGAATTTTATGTAGTACATTTGTTTTAATTGGTTTTATTTGTTTTTGTTTATCCTCTACAGCTGCATTCAGAATCACTCCTTAAAACCACAGTTTATGATTATCCAGATCTGTTAACGGCACGAGCGGCTTCTGGTTCAGGTGTCAAAGTCGGGGATTCAAATGAATCATACGGGCTTATAAGAATTATTAAAATTAGAAATGGTGTGATAACATTTAGGTTTCTAAATGCAGTTTAACACTAAAACCAATAAACACAACAACAGCAAAATTCTAATTATCTGAAGTTGTAAGTATTGAGTCCTGATATTCATTCTAACACAGCCGTAACAGGAAACCCTGCTAATGACTCGCCTTCTTCCCCTCTAGAGCCTGATAGGAGTGAGATGGAGGACAGCGGGTGCGTGGCCAGACTGGAGGAGGAGGGCTCAACCACGCCACCCTGCCCCCTGCAGGAGAAACACTGCCACTGCATCTGCCACCTGCAGCGGCCTGGAATGAAGCTGGTATGGGTTCCACTGCAAACGGAGGAGAAGAACGACAGAACGTGGGCGGAAAGCGAAAGAAGTCAGACGAGTAGCGGGTCACTAAAGAGGGAAGGCGAAAGCATCAAAGGGGAGACGGATGGTAGACGGGGAGAGACGGCCACATACCAGACACCTCCCTCCAGACACACAGCCTCTGTAAAATCTCCCAGAATGCCTCAGTGCATTAACTGCTGGAGCTTTCTGCTCCACCACAGCCCTCAGAAGCTAGCGGAGAGCGAATGCATATACGAAAGCGTGGAAGTGCTAATCCATCGGCTGACCCCTGCAGTGAAGCCCCCGTCGGCCCCGCAGGAGCAACAAACTGACCGCCCCCCCATGGAGGAGGCTGTCTACCTCGAGCTCCTGCCTTCTGATGAGAACAAGCCCAAACCCCCGACTCCGCCCCCCAGACCACCGTGCCCACAGTCCACCAGTGGTCCTAGTACAGAGCCCTGTGGTACGCCCACAGCTAGAGTCAGTGTTATGTGAATAACAAAAGTGATGAAAAAAACTGCATCACACAACACACCTGTTTATACACCTGTAATAGTTATACTACTGTCTATCTAATGTACATGAAACGGAAATATACCTATTAATGCTGATCTCATTTTCTTAAGCCTGGGATTATTTTTCTAGGGAGGTGCTGTAATTCGAGTGATTACTGATAAGATCTGTGATTTCATTCCAGTATGAATCTGCAGTGTCTGTAGTTTTTACAGTCTGCTAAGTAAGAATTCCAGAGTGAATTATCTTCTATAATTCGCTGAACTCGGTGGTCCTTCAGTAACAGTGACCCTGATTTAATCCCCCCTCACAGTGATGTAATAATAAAATCAGCACCTCTGAGTTTTGGCGAGTGGGAGACGAGGCTACTCGCTAACATGGAGCTCCTGGCACAGTTCCTTTATCCTCATATTCCAAACAGGACTGTAATCTCTAATATTTTTGATAATCGCTTAATTAGAAGGAAAACATAAATGAAATATCCAAAGGTGCTTCTTGCATGGAGAGCGATTTTCAGTGTTTGTTAAATTGAGTCCACTTTACTCCTTTACTGTAAAATTTTGTCGAGGGTTATTTAATATACCTTGTTAGCATTATGGTAAACAGGTACTTCTGTAATCCTTTAAGGTTTATGTTTATGTGAATATTAACTGTGTCAATTATAACTCTCCACTTTCTAGAGGGAAAGAGAAGTGATGAGAAAGATTCAGAGACGGGAGAGGAAACAGAGTAAGACTTTCAGCTTTACTCACAGCTTCAGCCCTCAGAACACAACACAGCTAATGCTACAGCTAACAGTACTAACATAATGATTAACTCTACAGCAAAGGCTACAGATAACAGTACAGCTAATACTACAAACGATATCATCACTAAAGCTACTGCTAACACCACAGCTAACTCTACAGCTAATACTACAACCAACACTACAGCTAATGCTACAACCAACACTGTAGCTAATACTACAACCAACACTACAGCTAATACTACAACCAACACTGCAGCTAATACTACAACCAACACTGCAGCTAATGCTACAACCAACACTGCAGCTAATACTACAACCAACACTACAGCTAATGCTACAACCAACACTGCAGCTAATACTACAAACAACACTGCAGCTAATACTACAACCAACACTGTAGCTAATACTACAACCAACACTGCAGCTAATACTACAACCAACACTACAGCTAATACTACATCCAACACTGCAGCTAATACTACATCCAACACTGCAGCTAATTCTACAACCAACACTGTAGCTAATACTACAACCAACACTGCAGCTAATTCTACAACCAACACTGTAGCTAATACTACAACCAACACTGCAGCTAATACTACAACCAACACTACAGCTAATACTACATCCAACACTGCAGCTAATACTACAACCAACACTGCAGCTAATACTACAACCAACTTTACAGCTAATATTACAACCAACACTGCAGCTAATTCTACAATCAACACTACAGCTAATACTACAACCAACACTACAGCTAATACTAAAACCAACACTGCAGCTATTACTACAACCAACACTACAGCTAATGTAACCAACACTACAGCTAATACTACAACCAACACTGCAGCTAATAATACAACCAACACTACAGCTAATGCTACAACCAACACTGCAGCTAATGCTACAACCAACACTACAGCTAATGTAACCAATACTACAGCTAATACTACAACCAACACTGCAGCTAATAATACAACCAACACTACAGCTAATGCTACAACCAACACTGCAGCTAATGCTACAACCAACACTGCAGCTAATACTACAACCAACACTACAGCTAATACTACAACCAACACTGCAGCTAATACTACAACCAATTGTACAGCTAATGCTGGTTTAGCTGGTCACCCAGTATGGTCATTTTATTTGAGCAGCACACCAGCATCCAAAACTCAACATATGCTGGTTTTGCTGGTGCCCAGCCATGCTGGTCTTGTTTTTCTAGCAGGGCTACAGCTAACACTACAGCTAATACAGCTAACACCACAGTAAATACAGCCAACGCTACAGCTAATACAGCTAACACCACAGTAAATACAGCCAACGCTACAGCTAATACAGCTAACACCACAGTAAATACAGCCAACGCTACAGCTAATACAGCTAACACCACAGTAAATACAGCCAACACTACAGCTAATACAGCTAACACCACAGTAAATACAGCCACACTAAAGCTAATACTACAACCAACTCTACAGCTAATATTACAACCAACACTGCAGCTAATTCTACAATGAACACTACAGCTAATACTACAACCAACACTACAGCTAATACTAAAACCAACACTGTAGCTATTACTACAACCAACACTACAGCTAATACTATAACCAACACTGCAGCTAATACTATAACCAACACTGCAGCTAATACTACATCCAACACTGCAGCTAATACTACAACCAACACTATAGCTAATACTACAACCAACACTACAGCTAATACTACAAACAACATTGCAGCTAAGACTACAACCAACTCTACAGCTAATACTACAACCAACACTACAGCTAATACTACAACCAACACTATAGCTAATACTACAACCAACACTACAGCTAATACTACAAACAACACTGCAGCTAATACTACAACCAACTCTACAGCTAATACTACAACCAACACTGCAGCTAATACTACAACCAACACTGCAGCTAATACTACAATCAACAGTACAGCTAATACTACAACCAACTCTACAGCTAATACTACAACCAACACTACAGCTAATACTACAAACAACACTGCAGCTAATGCTACAACCAACACTACAGCTAATGCTACAACCAACACTACAGCTAATACAACCAACACTACAGCTAATACTACAACCAACTCTACAGCTAATACTACAACCAACTCTACAGCTAATACTACAACCAACACTGCAGCTAATACTACAACCAACACTGCAGCTAATGCTACAACCAACACTACAGCTAATACAACCAACACTACAGCTAATACTACAACCAACACTGCAGCTAATACTACAAACAACACTGCAGCTAATACTACAACCAACACTACAGCTAATACTACAACCAACACTACAGCTAATACAACCAACACTACAGCTAATACTACAACCAACACTACAGCTAATACTACAAACAACACTGCAGCTAATACTACAACCAACACTACAGCTAATACTACAACCAACACTACAGCTAATACAACCAACACTACAGCTAATACTACAACCAACACTACAGCTAATACTACAAACAACACTGCAGCTAATACTACAACCAACACTACAGCTAATGTAACCAACACTACAGCTAATACTACAACCAACACTGCAGCTAATAATACAACCAACACTACTGCTAATGCTACAACCAACACTGCAGCTAATGCTACAACCAACACTGCAGCTAATACTACAACCAACACTACAGCTAATACTACAACCAACACTGCAGCTAATGCTACAACCAACACTACAGCTAATGCTACAACCAACACTGCAGCTAATGCTACAACCAACACTGCAGCTAATGCTACAACCAACACTGCAGCTAATACTACAACCAACACTACAGCTAATACTACAACCAACACTGCAGCTAATACTACAACCAATT